AACCTAAAATATCTTACAGAAAACAATTCTGATTCTACTATGTATTTATAATGTTTATCTTGTATATAGCATATTGTTGAGTATTGATTTTTTTTAGATCCATTCCGATAGTCTCTTCCTTTCAGTTAGAGCTTTTAGTCCATTAACATTTGGTATAACTATCGTTAAAGGTTGAATCTTTGTCTACCATTTTATTATTTGCTGTTTTTACTCTGTTTTTCTGTTTCTCTTTTCCTGCCTTTTCATTATTTTTGTATTTTTAGAATTCATTTTAAGTCATCTGTTGCTTTTTAGCCATACTTCTTTACAACAGTTTTAGTGGTTCCTCTAGTGACTATAATCTACCTTGTTAAATTTTCACAAGCTACCTAAAATTAATATTGCACCACTTGATATAAAATGTAGAAACTGTAACTAAATAAGTCCATTTAGTAGCCATTTATTGTCTTTTATGCTGTCTTCATATGTATCACGTTTACATGAATTATAAATGCCACATGACAATGTCATAATATGGGCTTTAAATAGTCATATATATTTTAAAGAAATTAAGAGGGAGACAAACCTTTTACATTTACCAAATATTTACCATTTCTGATACTCTTCATTCCTCTCTGAGGGTCTGAATTTCCATCCAGTATCACTTCCCTTCAGCCCAAAGATTTTCCTGTAGCTTTTTTTTTTGTAGTGCAGATCTACTGGTGATAGATGATCTTAGTTTTGTTTTACTGGAAATCTATTTTGTTTTCATTCTTGAGGATATTGTTGCTGGTTACAGAATTCTGTGCTGGCGATTTTCTTTTCTTTCAATGCTTTAAAAAATACTGCTCCATTGTATTTTGCACCCCCACACACACTTTCTGATGAAAAGTCAGCTGTAATTCACATTTTGTTCTCCTGTATTCTAAGTGTCACTGCTTTTAAGATTTTCTCTTTAACTCTGGTTTCTATTACAACAGTTTGAAGTATGTAGGTATGGTTTTCTTTGTATTTATTCTGCTTGGGTTTGGCTGAGCTTCTTGAAGCTTTACATTTATGTCTTTCACCAAATTTGGGGAAATTTTGGCCTTGATTCTTTCAAATACTCTGCCCCATTCTCCTTCACATCCCCTCTTCTTCTAACACTCTGATCATATATACGTTAAAATTTTTTATATTGCCCCTTACCTCTCTCTGGCTCTGTTCATTAAAAAGAAATTATCTGCTTCTCAAAATGAGGCAGCTGAAAATAAAAAAAAGAAAAGAAGAATTAGGTTGGGTCATCTCTGTTGATCTGACTTCAAGTTTTCTCTCTGCTCTGACATCTCTGTTCTGCTATTAAGCCCATTTAACTATTTTTTCCCAGATATTTTTTCATTCTGGAATTTCCATTTGGCTCTTCTCCTCTTCCTTGTCCTCCTCCTCCTCCTTTTTTTTTTTTTTTTTTACATTACATAGGGGTTTTTTTTTTTTGTTTTGCTGAGATTTCCTATCCTTTCATAAATTGGAGCATATTTCCTTTAACTCACTGAGCACAGTAAAGTGATGGCTAATTCCAACATCTGGGTCATCTTGTGATTGGTCTTTGTTAATTATTTTTTCTCTTGAGAGTAGGTCACATTTTCCTGATTCTTGGTATGCTGAGTAATTTTGGATTATGTGCTGACTATGATAAATGTTATTTTGTAGAGATTCTGAATTCTGTTATATTCCTCCAAAGAGGGATTTTTTTTTTTTTTTCAAGCAAGCAGTTAACTTACACTGAAAACCGAAAACTCAAATCTCAGTTTGGTTGTGCTGCAGTGTGTTTTGAACACAGGTGTCCCTCCAAAAATCATACGTGGGAACTTAAACCTCAAGGGGATGTTCTTGGGCAGTGGGGCCTTTGTGGAAATGATGAAGTCTGGAGCCCTCATGAATGGATTGATGCCCTTATCAAAGAGGCTTCACCCTTTTTTGCCCTTCTGCTCTGTGAGGAAAAGGCATCTTCTTGGAAGCTGAGGCCGAGCCCTCACTAGACACTGACCTACCGGTGATTCGATCTTAGATTTCTAGCCTCCAGAACTGTGAGAAATAAATTTCTCTTCTTTAGGAATTATCCGTCTTGGGTATTTTGTTATAGCAGCACAAACAGACTCACATAGGTTGTTTTATCCTAAATCGGGCTGTTTGCACTTTGCCCCATGCATGTGTGTCTTAGGAATCAGCCAGAGATTTGGACAGTCTGTGCACAGAATTTGGGACTCTTCCTCTCCTGCGGTAGCAAGGGAGCTGTGCTACTCAGATACCCAGGTGCAGGGCAACCAGGATGACCGGCTCCAGAGAACATGACCGACAGACAGCCTTAGCTGCCACACCTTTGGATCCACTGTGACATTCCTGCCAAGACCGCTGTTGCCATTCCGTCCAGATGCAATATTTCTGTAAT